ATTGGAGACGGACTGATACGAGATGAGGGAGAGTATGCCTTTCATATGATCTCTAGATGGGCTGACTAGACCCTGGTGGACGAATTTACACTGAAGAATATCTGAGTACAAATGCTTGACTGGATAAACTTAACATATATGGTGGAATACACGAGGGTGATGGGGAGATAGGGGAACGGATGGAGGAACGGGCCTGAATTTGATTAAGAACTGTTGTATAAAATTACAAAAGCTCAACTGAAAATTAAAAAAAGAAAACAGGGTTGAAATAGTTGCGTGAAATCCTGTTCAATTATGCCGTCACGAGAACACCCACTCCCACCAAGGCAGCACTTCAACTCTTAGAGATGTTTCTTATGTTCTTCAGGGTCATCCAGGACTCTAATGAATCAGACGCAGTGCACTGCAGTGTCACTTGTCTTTGTGGATTTAATCTTCCCTAATTCCTCCTTCGAGAGGTACCACAACAATGGCTGATGAGGAGTGGCAGGGACCGCATGCATGTTTACCATACTCATGCGCTTCTGTGTCTCCGTTGATCTGATTATCAGTGGTGCTTTGTTCCCTGCAGCTTCTATTCAGTTGTTCTGTGTCCTCCTTGAGATTCCCCTCAAGAGCCTCCAGCCATTGCTGCTGCTCCTTCTGTTTCTTTCAACATCTGCAGTTCCCCGAGAATGGCCTTGTTCCTGACCTACTCAACTGGTCAGGAAATTTTTAGAAAAGGATGGAAAATTTACATTCTGTCTTGAGTTTACAGAAGAAAAAAAATCATTTCTACAATATATAAACTCAGTGAAGCAGAAAATAGAATGATTCTGCCATGAACTGGAGGAGGGGAAATGATCAGCTGTTCACCAAAGGGCACACCAATTTACTGGTGCAATATTACTACGTTGTGGAGATCTACTTGCTGCACTTAGTAATACTTACTATAAGCATTGTAAGAACACGGATCCTACGATAGGCATTCTTAATGAAAAGGGAAAAAGAAAGTAGGCCAGTGGTAGCCAATGGCTTGTGGGAAGAAAAAAATTTGCAGTACAGAGTGCAGTGATAGGTATGTTCACTGTCTTGATTGTGCTACTGTTCATATGATCACTCGACTTTCAAAACTGGTTTGATCACCTGACTAAAATGAGAACATTCTCCTGCATGCATTAAGAAATTCACTGTAGCCACTTATAAAAGAAAGAGCATAATCTCATTGCCGGAAATGACTGGCAGAAAAAAGTAAGTCCTGAAAATTTCTGAAACTTGAAACTGAGGTTAGGAAATCTCAAAATTCTTTAAACAGAGGGTGATGATGCTTGTGTTCAGCTCCCCTTCTTCTTTTTATCTTGAGACCACAACCCATGGAATGTTATTGCCCATCGTTAGGTGCCTTCCCACATCAGTTAGCTTAATATGGATACTCTCTCATTGAAATGCCCTGAGATTTGTTCCCATGGTGATTTAAGTCCCATCCTAATGGTAATCAAGATTAATCATCACAAACACATACTGCTCAATCATATAAAATGCTGTTTTTTTATTATTATTTTGGGAAACTCTAAAGTGTTCCATAGTGTTTATACCAATTTAAATTCTGGACAGAAGCACACACAGTCCATTCTGACCTCATCAACACTTGGAACTGTCTGTCTTTCAGATAATAGTCACTTTAACAGGTGTAATGCTATCTCATCACATTTTGATGTCCATTGCCCTGAAGATCAGTGATGCTGACTGTCTTTCATACACCGACTGGCTACTTATGTGTTTTCTTTTTAGAAATTCAGGTTCAAAGCCTTTCTCATATCTTCTTAGGGTGTTTGAGAGGCAGGAAATCTCTGTGAGTTCAAGACCAGCCTGGTCTACATAATGAATTCCAGGCCAGTTGGAGCTACATAATCAGACCTTCTCTCACAAATAATAAAAATAAAAACAGCGTAAGCATAAAACCAAAATGATTATTGCCTTCACTGGAGTCCTATCATAGACTAAGCCCTGTGATGAACACCTTTAGTGTATGACTTCACTGAAATTTCAAAGTATCTGCAAATTACAGGTTATTATGCCCACAGTGCAAATGAGATACAGTTTCCAAAAGTATGGGTAAGTTATTCACAGAGACAAGATTAAAACCTTAATGAGCGAGCAAAATGGCTGATGAGTAGGTTCTAAGCCCTTGGTCCTTCCATGAAAAGATTTTTTAAAAATGGGTGAAACAAACACAGGAACTTTGAAAAACAACCAGTGAATTACAGCAACCACTTAGATGCCCAGCTGAGACCACGCCACACTCATAACAGACATTGCATGGTGTATTTGCTTGGCCTTTCCCCACCTACTCCCCAACACAGCACAGGCTTGGTCTGTGGGGAATAGGACAAGCCTTAATTCCAATAGACTAAACTGCAGTTGATTTTTCTGATCTCTGTTTTGCCAAATTTGGATTTCAGGTAGCAATGATTTCTTAAATATGACACCAAAAGCAAAATAAATCAGTAAATAAATAGATAAAACCTGCTTCATCAAAATTAAGAGCTTCTGCACATCAAAAGTGCCTATCAAAAAAGTAAAATGTAACCCAAAGAATGGGTGAATAACATTTCTAAACTGCGTATGTATTAAGGGATTAATATCCCAAATAAAAAGAAAACTGCTACAATTCATCACACATAACTCAATTTATAAGAAACAGACAAAACACTGGAATAGACATTTCTCCAAGAGGGTTTGCAAATGGTCATAAGGCATGAGATAATATTAGATGTCACTAATCACCAGTATAAATGAAAAACCCAAGATACATTACATTTTAATGTTTTGGTTGCTAGCCTTAGCCTTTAACGGCTGCACTATCCCTCCAGCCCAATACATTACATTTTAAAGAACTGATTTGAAAAGGGATGCAATTCACAAATTGGGGAACACTAAATTAAAAGATGAAGTGTTTGTGCTCCCATGACAAAATGTCAGAGTCCAGATTTATTAGGAAAAAGTGGAGAAAATAAGAAATTGTAGCTTTAAAGTTTCTGTTGGTGGGGTATAGGAAGGTTGTTTAAAAGTCTTTAGGCACATAATCTCATTCCACTTGGCTACTTATGGTTAACTGAGGTTAAGTTTTGCTTCTGTCTAGCATAAACATTTACTTGAAATCACTTGTTTAGTTTTGCTTCTGTTTGCAGTTTAAGCAAGAATGAGGTTATTTTAAGCTCTGGTTTATTTTGTTGTCAAGAAGCTTCCAAGGTCAGTCTGTCTTGTAACTTTGCCTTAGCAAGTATTAAGGAACTACAACCCAAAATCACACAGAATCACATTTCACCCACTAGGTTGGCTACCACAGAAAACAAAATTAAAAACAAATAAATGAGTGTGAACCAGAATATGACCAAATTAGATGTTTGTACATTGAAACTAGGAGCACAGAATGATATCACCACTGTAGAAAATTGAATTGATTTCTTATAATATTAATAATCATAATTAATATTTTATTCAACAAGTCCACCTTTGAATATACACAGCACAAAAAAGGGAAAAATGGACTTGGACAGACACTTAAATACCAGTGGCCAGTGTGACAGTCCAAACAATAGAATACTCTTCAACAAGAAAAAAGGATGGAATTCATCTGCATGCTGCAGCACAGATGAGCCTCGAGGACATTGTGCCAAGCAGGAGAATGTTCAGAATCCTAAGGCTTCAGATACAGATTAAGAAACTTGATGAGAAGCATCATTCTCTGCAACTTACTCCATGGGTGAGAATAGGATAAAGGACAGGAATAAAAGGCATACAGCATCTCTCCATAGATAGATGACAGCTGACAGCTGACAGACAGACAGACAGACAGATAGATAGGTAGATAGATGATAGATAGATAGATAGATAGATGATAGATAGATGATGATGAATTTGGAAAGAGCTGAATTCCTTGAATATCTATTTGCTTTTTTATCAGAAATTAACAGAAACTTTGTGAAGAATTGACTCTTGTGCCGGGCATGGTGGCACATGCCTTTAATCCTAGCACTCGGGAGGCAGAGGCAGGCAGATCTCAGAGTTCAAGGCAGCCTGGTCTACATAGTGAGTTCCAGGACAGCTGGGGCTAGAGAGAAACCCTGTCTCAAAAAATCCAAAAAAAAAAAAAAAGTGTTCTGACCAACTGTAGCATGCAGCTTATTTTGGTCAGATGATAGAGAGAGAGAGATAGAGAGAGAGAGAGAGAGAGAGAGAGATGATAGATTGATAGATGGCAGGTAGAAATGATAGATGGACAGATGATAGAAGGTAGATAGGCAGACAGACAGATGGATAGATAGATAATAAATAGATAGATGATAGGTGTCACATACATCGAGAGAGAATTTTTACTACATAGGCTTTTTTTTTTTTTTTTTCTTTTCGGTCTTTTGGAGACAGGGTCTCCCTTAGAGGGAGTGCTTTAGGTGCCTGGCACTCACTATGTAGGCCAGACTAGCCTCAATCTCTCAGTCTCACAGTGATCCATCTGCCTCTGCCTCCTAAATGCTGGGACTAAAAGTATGTGCCATCATGCCCAGCTACATGTGCTTTCAATGACGTAGGAACTAAATTTATTTCTACATAGATATTTGCAGAGCTCTTACTCTGAAGTTAGAAAGAAGCAAGGCTCTTCAGATTACAGTGCTTTTGAGCCTTAGGAGGCTAGTGTTCTGTGATCCAGGACTCCGCAGGGCTTGGTGAGGCAGGCAGGATCCCACCCAGGGCTCTTCCCATTCCACTTGCTGCCACCCTGAGTTGAAGCTGCCAGAGCAGGTCATTCAGCGGCCTCAGTGTGTCTGACTGCCACTTTACCTGTATTGCTGATCAAAAGTGACAAGTTGACCTTTCCCCGAACCATACCCAATCACAGACCCCTGCAGACCAGACAACATGCAACCTGCCCTTTCTACTCTTGCCTCAGTTGCCACTTTGAATCAGAAATCAAGTCAAGGTCAACACTAAGTTACTTTAAAAAAAAAAAAAGAACATACCTGGTCCTCACACCACAGGTCCAGTGCAGTCCCCACCTGCCTGTTCCTCACCTCTTGGTCTCCTTCCTCTTTCTGTTCTTTTTCTTTTATATGAACTGACAGTGCAGGGGGAACAAAAGCCACATGCTGCAGGAAAATAGAAGTTGAAAGCAAAGTAATTCAAAGTATGAATAAGTTAGCAGAGGCTATTGTGTTGGTGCAGAGGAGGGAGGAGGGCAGAAAAGACAGCTACTCCAGGACACAGCTCTGGAAATGCAGTGTTTCCCATCATGAAAGACTTTCGCTTTCCTTTTCCTAATACATTTCCTCCAACTGTTCAAGTCTCCATGGCACACATATAAACAAAGTTGTGCAATCCTGGACTGTGTCAAGCATGTTTTCACTCAGTAGAAATTCCTGGGCATTTCACTAGTAAAGAGCTTTTTAATATTCTTAACATATGTTTTATAACACAAAGAACATTAATCAAGAAATCATTTTTAAATTAATAATTACTGAAGATAAAAATGAATATCCCTTAACTGTAATAAACAGAAATATTCACTGTGGCTGTTTTGTCTTCATTCTTCTGCTTCCCCACTCTATCAACACTCTGTAGAGTGTCTTCTGCTTCCCCACTCTGCTCCTTGCCACAGAAATGTAGCCAGCAGGCCCAGTTTCAAAGATCCTTGTTCAGTCATAGGAGAAAGCGATTGCAGGTGTGTGCATTTGTGGAATGAAGAAGTGAATCAAGTGCACAGTACAAAAGTGGCAGGTGGAGAAGGGAAAAGCATGAGGAAGATGTGCTGGGAGGAACAGAGGTGATTTTCCTCGGCTCCTTTACAACTACCAACCTCCTTATCTGTGGGAGACAGGCTTCAGCCTAGGGTGATATTGCAACTGTCAGGGTCACATGGTTTCCAGGAATCCAGGCTCTGTAATCTGAAACCCAGTATGCTAATGAGACATCCTACTCGCTATTCTGTGATAGGATGCTAAGCCTATTATGCTAATAAGGTGTCCTACTTGCTGTACTATGATAGGACGCTAAACCTGTTATTCTAATGAGGTATCCTACTTGCTGTGCTGTGATTGGACCACTACCCCTATATAAGCTTGTGCCTTCTTGCAATAAAGCAGACTTGTGTCACTGAACCTGGTCTCCTGTGTCTGAATGTGGGCTCCTCTGACACAGTCTCCCTACCAGCCCTGGGGTCCAGGACCAGGCAGAAGTGAGGATGACAGGAGGCAGCACAGGGCAAGCAGAAGAGCTGCCTCAGCCCAGGATAGGCAGAAGAGCAGCCTCAGCCCAGGGTGAGCGGAGGAGCAGCCTTGACGCCCGTGAGAACAAAGGAGCGGCTGGCATTGGCGGTGACTGCACTTACCCATGCAAACATTTTCACAGAAGACCAAACAACATTTTAAGGCCTGTCTTGCAAATACCCATCTAGAGGATACATGCATCATCAGCAAAGGAAGGGATGTTGCTGTGCTCCTACGAAACTTTAATTACTAAAGGAGGTAGTGAAGCAGTAGTAGGCACAGCTGGCCTGTTATCCCTCCTTTGCTTTCTTTGGTTTATGTAAATACCGTGTATAATGTGCAGAAGGTTATCAGTGCTCAGATATCATTATCTTACAGGTGAACTGATAATTCCAGAATTGAATTCTGGGTCTATTTCTAGGGCTATTTAAGTAAAATATCCTTTTGTGGGGCTGGAGAGATGGCTCAGCAGACAAGAACACTGGTTGTCCTTGCAGAAGACCCAGGTTTGAATCCCAGAACGAACCCACATGGCAGTTAACAACTGTCTGAAACTCCATTTCCAGGGAATCTAAAAGCCTCTTCTGTCCTCCATGGGCATTCCATGGCATGGGTGTACTTATCTACATGTAGGCAATACATGTATATGCATAAAAATAATAAATAAAATATTTTTTTAATATCATTTGTTTTGTTCTTAAAGCAAAAGTATCAAAATATAGACTGTTTCTTCCATCTATTTGATCATCCATGTGAGTTCTTGCCTGGATACCTGAGCTATGTATTCGCATGTCTGCGTGACTCACTCTCTCTCAATAGCACAGAGCTATCCACACTGATAAGCCAAAGATAGAGACAGGGATGGAACATAGTCAGCTATAAGACAGAAGACACCATTTGGTTCCAACACACCCGTGCAAGTCTATAGGACCCTTTGAAAGAGCAAAGAAGCTTCACATTTGAGTGTGTGGCATGTGACTCCAGCTAACTTGAGTGAGGTAGGAAAAGGCAAAGTTTATAAACACAGTTTTTGAGGGAATGCTTTGCCTGCATTTGCTATTCACAGCCTGTCCACTCCAAGCAGATATTAAGAAACAGCGCAGTTTCCCTGTGTGCGCCACAGGCTGTGCTTAAAGACAAAGCACTTGCAGACACTGCCATCATGTGGTCACTCAAAATAATCATTTTTTTCATAACATGCGAAATGATTGGCTTTTTATGTAAAAAGTGTTTTCTTAATATCAAGATGGAATTTATAGAAATGCATAATATATGGTGATAATCTATCACACATTACAAAACATAAATTATATAAAGAAGCATAGACTATAATAAAGTATAAAAGCCACATATACAACCATATCATCTGCACACAATGGTAAGATTGCCTGTATGGTTCCTAACATACACATTGATCATAATGTTTTCTAAAGTTTTATTGAAAAGATAGAGAGGTGGTAAGCTCTTAAACTTCAATGGGAATGTTATATTTTCATTTTGAATTTTTCCTCTAAGAAAAAGAAATGTGAAGATATGTAACACTGGGAAAGTGATGACAGGGAGCCAGGGTCTGACAGAAAAAGGAAATGGGGCTGGAGAGATGGCTCAATGGTTAGAGCACTGGCTGTTCTTCCAGAGGACCTGGGTTCAGTTCCCAGCACCCACACGGAGGCTAACCACTGTCTATAGCTCCAGTTCCAGGGGATCCAATGCCTTCTTCTGACCTCTGAGGGCATAGCATGACACAGGTGCACTCACATACACGAAGGCACGTAAAATACTCATATTCATAAAATACAAAGCAGTGAGCTCTGGGGTTTAGTGAGAGACCCTGTCTCCAAAAACAAGATGGAGAGTGATAGAGGACAGCAATATTGACCTCCACACATGGCACAAGGGAGGAAGCACTATTGGCTAGTGGGGTTCTTTTCAAAAGGTCTTGCATATTCTTGTATATTAAAGTGTTTCCCTGTTTTTCTTTAGCTGTTTTGAATCTTACACTAATAGTCTTGAAAAAGTACCGCTGTGTAAGGAAAGAGTGTGAATGAGTCTAAAGTTACCTACTAGGCAGATTCAGAAGCAACTATCGTTGCTAAAGAGATGAGATACATTAGAAGAAAAAGAAACAACCTAGGACAACAGGAGATAGTTTGTCCGGAGAGCAAGATTCCATACGTCAAAGTTCCAGCTTTGAAAACTCAGATTCATTTGAAAAGATAGAGCCTACACTGAGAGTGCTGGTAAAGGAGTTTCCTGTTTAAAAAGACTGCCCAGCCGGGCGTGGTGGCACACGCCTTTAATTCCAGCACTTGGGAGGCAGAGGCAGGCAGATCTTTGTGAGTTCAAGGCCAGCCTGGTCTACATAGTGAGTTCCAGGACAGCTGGGGCTACAG